CTGCTTCCCCGGGCGGAGGAGGCCACGCCCCGCGCTCTTTCCTCTTCCTCCCACTCCCGACCTCTGCCCCCTCCTCCCCTCCTCCCCATCCCCTCTCCCTTCCCGTCTCCCTCCCGCACCCCTTTTCTCCGGGGCTGCACTCACGGTTCCTCCCCAAGCCCAGCCCCTGGCTCCCTCCCCTGCCTGCTTTTCCCAGTGCGCTCTGCACGGTCCCAGCCGACAGAACGGTCTGCTGTCTGAGTCGGGAGACCGGCAATGTCCCTGGTCCCAGAAAGTGCCCACCGAGGTCAGTGCTGCGACACAGACCCCGAGGTCCGGGTGAAATTGTGTCTCTGGACAAGGCACCCAGTGCTGCAGGGAGGGGGTTGTTTTGGGGCCGCAGGTCCAGGGGCCACGGTCAGACACATCGAAGGTGCTGTTCATAAAAAGTGCAGGGTCTTCAGCTGCCCCACTGGTGGTGGCTTCTCCTGGTCACCCTTGCCCATTCCCCGAGGCCCCCACGACTTGAGATTGGGGTCTCTGGCCCCCCGTTGGTCCTTCGAAGGACATGCAGTCACTGGAGTCTGCGTGGCATATGGTGGCACCCGCCTTTTCCAGGGGGCTTTCTGGGGGGTTCTGGGTGATGCCGGGGGTTTGGAGACCCTGCTCTGCCAGGCTGAGTCTCAGACACCTGCTTTTCTGAGATCCTGGAGGTGACTGGCAGCTGCTCCCCGCTCCAGCGCAGGCCTGTGTCCCGTCGTCCAGGTCATCCAGGACCTGCTGTGCGCACGGCCTGGCCTGGCCTGTGGCCTGGGAGACCCAGAAATCCAGTGGGGCCGGCCGTCCCCCCGGGCTGTGGGCGCCCACTCCTGGTCACTCGGCCCAGGACTCTGTCTTGCTCAGAGGGGCTGCTTGATTCAAGGTTGGGCTGAGGTCACACTGGTGGTCAGAGGACTGGGTGGCAGGATGGGATGGCCCCTCCCTGTGCTAGCTGCCATCCTGCCACCGGGGCGAAGCCCTCCATGGTCCATCCCGGCGTCGGGCACTTCCAAGTTGTCGGGGTTCTGGGGTTTTGCAGGAGCCACTCGCTTGGCCTCCAGGTCGAGGCATTGGGGGAAATAGTAGCTTCCACTTGGGGGCAGAACTGCGGGGTGAGGTCCTTGGGGCAGGGAGAGGTCAAAGGTGAAAGGGTGGCCGACACTGACCCCCAGAATTCCCAGCGGCAGGAGGACTGGTGGCTGCTGGGTCAGGTGACAGGTGTGCGGGGCAGTGTGGACGACCCCAGGGCGATGGGTGGGAGCTTTGTCTCTGGAACCCTGTGGCCCCTCTGTGCCTCAGTTTCCCTAGCTCAGACGGGCCGGGCTAGTGCCAGTGCAGCATTGGGATGCTGGGGGCCGTCTCCCCACTGCGGCCCAGGCCCTGGGCTGCTGTGCTGGGCCCCGGAGGCGCCCGGCAGCTGGGTCCTAGATCCTGGTGGCACTGGGCGTGTTGTCCGGTGGACAAGACCGGCAGCACTTGTTTGCTGGGATTCGGGAGCCAGGTGTTGGCCGGAGCAGACCCCGAGGTTCCCGGTTCGCAGCCCCTCGCCTTCTTGCAGGCTCTGCACCCTCGTGCCAGCCCCCGGCGCTTTGCCCCCGACTTCGGCATGCTGGGTGAGGCTGCGCTTCCCGCTCCCTTTCAGTAAAGGCAAAGGCCTGTCCGGCCTGGGTTAGCATCCCTCCGTCCCTCTGGGGGGGTGTTTCTCTGGGGGGGTGTCGCCCAGCGGTGAAGGATCAGCCCTCAGAAGGTGACCGGAATCCCTGAATCCTTGAGCCATCTCCAGCCTCGCCATCTCATTTTCGGATGAAAACATAAAAGATGGTGACATTCTGTGATTTCTTCCCCCCACAAACAAAAACATGCCTGGAGTCATGCGACAGCCGCAGCCGAGGGGCCCTCCGGAGTTTAACGCAGCAGCCGAGGCTCCTTAAGCGGCTCCGCTCTGCCCTCCCCGCCCGTCGTCCCCCCTCAGGACGGTCTCAGGCCTCCCATGTGACGCGCCCTATGCCCTTGCCCTGCCCGGCAGTATCCGAGATTGGAGGAAGGTGTAATGAATTCCATGGCTTGGCCACCCCACCCCGGGCGCCCGGGTGACCTTTTGGGCAGACCTGGCACCTGGGGCCCGAGCAGGCGCTTTCTGACACCCCCGTTCTTTGACCCCCGTGTGCCACGAGCCAGGACAGGTCTCCCCTCTGCACACGGGCATTCACGGTGGCGACTTAACGAGACTGGTCGGTGGTTCTTTGGGGAAAATTCTGTTTCGTTTATTTGATCAATAATTTGGTTAATCGATCATCCGTGTATAACTGGTTACCTGTGCTCCGTGGTGACGGTCCCTACCCTCTCTGTCCAGGGACATGCTGATCACCAGCTTGGACGCGGCCAGCACCTTCGAGGAGCTCTGTGAGGAAGTCAGAGACATGTGCAGCCTCCGCCAGGGGCAGCCGCTCACCCTCAAGTGGGTGGACAGTGAAGGTAGCCCTCGGTCCTGTGTCGTCCATGTCGTCCGCGTCAGGCACTGAACCCTCTGTGTGCGGGACATTGGCTCAGCCCCTTCCATGGGGAGATGTCAAGCCGCAGGATTAAGTGGGTCAGCAGCCACTTCCCCTAGGGACAGGGAGCTCACATCTGCAGGCGGAAACTGGGTTGGGGGCGGAGCAGGCTGGATGCCCCCTGGAGGAGGACAGCCACCAGGTGGCCCTAGTCTGGTCTTGACACTGGGCCGTGGGCCACCCTTACCCTCCTTACCTGACCTCCCTCTCTCACATCCCCCTTTCCAGTGAGATTTGTAGGGATGAGCCCCCTTCCCCTCCCTGCTTCCCCCCTTCCCCTCCCTCTCCCCTCCCTCTCCCCCTCCCTCTCCCCCTCCCTCT